ACCATCAAAATTCTTTGAGAGATGAACAGTTGTGCCTAATTAGCTGAATATAGGATTGAAGAACATCACGGAGAATGGGTGGGTGCAGATAAACTTTGAGCCTAAATATCCTTTTTTCTGAAAACCGTGAACCAAACCACACTATAACCCTCGAAAGACCTAATTGAAGCAGGGTTTATTTTGAAAGCATACTTTAACGAAATAGCGTTCCTGACTCCCATGAGTTGTGCTAAAAGACTTTTGTTGGTATTGCATGTGCATTCAAAAATCAATGTCACATCTTAACTAGTGATTCGTTCACAAGTTTTTTGCGACATGTTTTCAGTAAAAAAAAAAAACTTCAAGATAAACATAGGTAATTGCATTAGAATTATCATTCTCATAATTAAGCTTTTCTGCTTGCATACATTTATTTGACATCATGGAAGCTTACGTAAGCGTATCAGTGATGAACATAATCTCTTGAAGTATGGAAATCTGATGAGTAATTGGCAAATCGTTTCAAGGAATGATCATATCCAGGGGCATGTTTCTTGAAGATTTCGTTGAGCTTGAGCAAGTTTGTTTTCCCAGTTGATGCTTTCACAGGGGCAAAGCTTGAATACTCCATCAGTAAAAGAATATGCCGACTATAGTTAATCTGGGGAAGTTACGTCGAGATTCGACGAATCTCTCAGAGTTTGAAGATATTGGGGCAGATTATTTCAAGGTATTATGAACTCGATATTCTCCCAATTAGAGTTTGTCCTTGTTGATGTTCTGTTTGGTCTTATTGATGCATTTCTCAGTTGGGCACTAGTTCAAGCATTTTTAACTTGGATTCCCCCTGCAAAGTCTTGATTCAGATTCCTTCAATTTGAGCATGGTTCTCCTTTCCTAACCTGTTTATGATCAAGCATATTTAAGTGTGAATGTGATTGTTGGATCCCATCATGTTCTATGGTAAAATTTGATGAGGAATCTCTGGCTGGTTTCTACCTCCTCCGTTATGATTCTTTGCTCTTATGGCCAATTTGAACCATATTTCCTTTCTAAGAAGTATTGATATAGCAGTCAACTGTTGGGTTTTCTCTCACCCTGTGTTGAGCTTTAAAATCCCCTGCAGGTTGACTTTTTGCTATGATGTTAACTTCTTAATTATCCCTGCAATTCCAAGTTTTTCTCTCGAGGTTGTTAGTACCCAGAGAGTTATCCTTGTTGATCATGTGCAGAGGATACGCATTTATCACTACTGGTTGTGAAAGATAGGATATGACCTTCATCAGATTCTTATTCTCCTCAGTAAAGTTTGTTGATGTTTCCCCATTTGAGCTATATCGAGTTTTCTCTAGTAGGGTTTGCTGATATTCCCTTAGTAGAGTTTTGTTCCTATGGATGACCAGACAAGTATTGATCAGTTTTCCACAGCGAAGTCGTGATTCAAATCTTCTCCAGATGAGTATGTTTTATTCATCCAGCCAGGTTATGATCAGACAGTTGAGTAGTTTGAGGACCACCTCTCCTTGATGTTATTGCCCATGCGGAGACTTGTCTTTAATGATTCCTAGCAGAGGTTATGCATATTTACTTTGGATTATTCCACAAGTAGAGAACAATGTTGCTTACTTCTAAGAAGTGTTGACATAGTAGTCACCTGTCGGGTTTTCTCTCACCTTGTGATTGGGTGTTGATTTAAAATCCCCCACAGTTTGACTTTTTGCTATGATGTTAACTTCTTATTCCCCGGGCAGAGTTGGAAAATTTGTGTTGCTTTGTTTTCTCCAACGGTTTTTTTCCTCGAAGCGGAATTCATATTGTTGAATTATTGATGGTTGAAGATTGATCTTTGGGGTTTCCTCCCCAAACGATATCTTTATTTCCTCAGCGAGGTTTGAGCCTTGTAGTAGGATTTATTTTCCTTTGATGGATCTTGTGTATCTCTTGCAGGGTTTCTGTTGCTGATCCCCAGCATGATCTCCAATGATATCTCTAATTTGCTGAGATAAGCCGAGTATTTCAGTGGTGTTGTGATGTTTTGTTCACCATCTGTTTGCCTTTTTTGTCTGTTTTGTCAGCATATTCATACTCATATGCATTGCATGCGCATTCATTTTGGTTGAGCATAGCATGTTTTTTGTTGCATTGTGCATCTTGCATTTTTTTTGGTGTTTCCCTTTCGCCGGTGTTGTTATCCCCGCGGAGTGCGTGTGTCCTCTCTCCATTAGAGTGTCCACCCTTAAGCAGAAAATACCTACCCTTTCTAATTCCCTACTGAGTTTATGCCTCGTGGAAGATGTTTGTTTAGCTTTCCGTCCCAACTTTTATCTGGATGGAATTGTTCCCCATTTGAGTTATTTCCTCACGGGGTCGAGTCTTGTTTGATCGTTTCTTTCCAGTTTGTTCCTGGATTGAACTTTGGTCTCTTGCAGCAGTTACTTTGGTTTTCCCTGGGCTGTGAAACCTGGATGTCGAGAAGGTATTTTTGAGGATTTACTTTCCTCGGAAGGAATCTGTTATTGATTCCCATCAGAAGATGAAGATTTGATTTCCCCAGCGGTGTTTTGATAACACTCTCTTGGTGATTGCTTGTGCGACTTCATGTGACAGTCTCTTTATTTGAGCAACTTGTATGTCTCCAACAAGATAAACCTCACCCCAACAAATGGTTGTCTCTTTATTTGAGAAGTTTGTTGTGTGATTTGAGCTGCCCATTGACTGGTAGCAGGTATTTCTTGTGAGTTCATTACCTAAATTTTTCTACCTAGTACTGGGTACCCGGTAATGTTTCTTCACCTTTCGAGTATGTTACCTCTATTGACTGGTAATATTTCTCACCCCTTTTGGTTGGTTATGCTTTACCCATTTGACCGGTAAAAGATAATCCTTCCTCCCGAGCTTGTTGCCTTTATTTTCTGCCTAGTGATAGGTAGTAGGTAGCATTTCTCTCCTCCTTTTTGGTCAGTTATCGACAGATATTTCTACCCAGTAATCGGTAGTCGGTAATCTTTCCTTGTGAGTTCATTACCCAAAATTTTTCTACCTAGTAATGGGTATCTGGTAATGTTTCTTCACCCTTTTGAGTATTTTGCTCATCTTTTTTGGTCAGTTATCGACATATTTTTTCTACCCAGTAATCGGTAGTCGGTAATCTTTCCTTGTGAGTTCGTTACCCAAATTTTTATACCTAGTACTGGGTATCCGGTAATGTTTCTTCACCTTTTGAGTATATTGCCTTTATTGTGCTATCTATTGATTGGTAGTCGGTAATATTCTCACCCCCTTTGGTTTATTACGCTTATTTTTTACTCAGTAACCAGTAGAAGCATTTTACCTGTTCTCTTTGAATCGACTATATTCGCCCAGTAACTGGCAGTTGGTATCTCTTTCCCTGTTGAGTCGTTTCCTTTCCTTTATCGGAATAGGATCTTGCTCTTTTGTTTTCCCTTGTGGAGTCTCTTTTCTTCTTTTGCCCTCGAACTTTTGTTTGTCTCCTGTGACATTTCTCTCCCCACAAAGGTCTTGTGTTTGCATACCATTAGCATAATCATATCATTTTGTGGTCTCTTAGGGCCAAAAAATTGGGTTTATTGTTATATTTAAGTCTCTTCTATCTAGTCGAGACAAAGATGTCAATCTTCATATCTCCGGATAGAAGAATCTTAAATAGGGGCAGCTGTAATACCCTAATTTTTACCCCTAAGATCCCACATTTCATTTGCATATCATACGCAAACAAGATCATACTTTATGGTTCTCCAGGCACCCCTGTGTGTTTCTTACTTGATTTTTGTTGTTTATGTTTACTAACTTCTAACCAAAATACCAAAAAAATATTTTGCAATATTTTGCTTGTTTCTTCTTCTTTGTGTGTTAGGGTTTTTTGCAAGGAGATTGATATCAAGGATATTCATTTAAGCCCAAATCAGATGGAAGTTTGACCTCATCTTGGTCAAACTATCAAGGGATTACTTCATTTGCAAGTAAATGTATCAGTGGTCTATTTTCTCAAGAGATGATTGTTCAAGGTCAAGTGGTCTTATGGAGAATCATCAGTTTGTCAAGCAGTGTTTTATGAGAAGTTTTATCCCAGTTTTAATCGAAGATTCAGAGTTTTGTCTGTATAAGTCAAGTTTGGTGGATGTTCAATCAAGATGTTCGTTTTGGGATGCAAGTCCAAAGTGTTCATTCAAGTGTGTCATTTCCAAGTGATTCTAAAAGCATTGAAGGTTGGCCTGTATGTTACTCCTGAAGAAGTTGTTGTCCACTGGATGGAATCTAGGAAGTTCTCACTTATTCCATTTCCACAAACATGATACGAGTTGCTTATACTTGCACTTGAAGAGTTGAAGGAAACTATGCGTGCTCTTCTGAGGAATATAACAATGGTCATGATACCTTCTGTATACTTTAAGAGCATAATTAAGTTGCTTCACCATTCAGATAAAAATGTTGGAAAAAAGGCTCTTGGGCTGTTATGTGATGCAGCAAGAAATCACGAAAAAGTCAGCTTAGCTCTTAAAGACAACAAAGGTTCAAGGTCAAGATCAAGTTTTCCTTGGCTTCATATGGATGAAAGTTCTCAAGAGTCACTTGATAAAATGTGTTTAGAAATTCTTCAAGTACTTGATGATTCATCAAATACCTCTTTGAAAGTAGCAGCAGTTTCAGCATTGGAAGTTCTTGCAGAAAGGTTCCCTTCAAATAGTTCCATCTTTGGTGTATGCCTTGGATCTATTACAAAATGTATTACATCTCATAACTTGGCTGTAACTTCTAGCTGCCTTCGAGCATCTGCTGCTTTGATCAATGTTCTTGGTCCAAAAGCATTGGCTGAACTTCCTCAAATTATGGACAATGTGATGAAGTCCTCTCATATTGTGCTGTCTAGTCAGGATTTGAAACCAAAAACTAATGAGGTTTTATCAGTCTCAAATGAACCCCATTTTATTTCTGTTCTTGTTACTTTGGAGGCAGTTGTGGACAAGCTTGGTGGATTCCTAAATCCATATCTCACAAATATCATGGAGCTTCTGGTGCTTCATCCCGAATATGTCTCAGGAATGTATCCCAAAGTGGAATCCCGAGCTCATGGATTACGAAAGCTTATTGCTGGAAAAATTCCAGTACGGCTTTCCTTGCCGCCGTTGTTAAAACTATATCCTGCTGCTGTTGAAGCTGGGGATAAAAGCTTAAAAGTTGTGTTTGATATGTTGGCAACATTTATTGGTGCAATGGACAGATCATCTATCGGGGCATTCCATGGAAAGATTTTTGACTTTTGCCTGGTTGCTCTTGATCTTCGCCGTCAAAGTCCTCGTTCAGTTCAAAACATTGATTTAGTGGAAAAAGGTGTGATGAGTGCTATGCTTGCGCTGACCCTAAAACTTACAGAGAGCATGTTCAAGCCTCTTTTTGTAAAGAGTATTGAATGGGCAGAATCTGTAGTGGATGAAACTGCATCAGCAGGAAGCATGGATAGGGCCATATCTTTTTATGGCATGGTAAATAAGCTTGCTGAGAACCATCGGTCATTGTTTGTTCCTTACTTCAAATACCTACTTGGTAGTTGTGTTCATCATCTAGGCGACGGCAGAGACTCTAATGTGTCTAGTCTGAGTCGGAAGAAAAAGAAGGCTAAGATTATGGATGATGGTGATGTAAAAGAAACAAGTAGCTTATCTATCAAGGAGTGGCATCTCAGGACACTAGTCCTATCATCCTTACACAAGTGTTTCCTCTATGACACTGGGAGCTTGAAGTTTCTTGAGTCCTCAAATTTCCAGATGTTGTTAAAACCTATTGTCTCTCAACTTGTCCTAGATCCACCTGCATTGCTAGATGACAACAGCTTGAGTATACCTAGCGTGAAGGAATTTGATGACCTACTTGTCGTGTGCATCGGCCAAATGGCTGTCACAGCTGGTTCTGACCTTTTGTGGAAACCTCTGAACCACGAGGTTTTGATGCAGACACGTAGCGAGAAGACACAGACTAGAATATTGGGCCTGGGAATTATTAAACATTTTGTAGTTAACTTGAAAGAAGAATATTTAGTATTATTAGCGGAAACAATCCCGTTCCTTGGTGAACTTCTCGAGGATGTGGAGCTTTCAGTTAAATCTCTTGCTCAAGAAATTCTACAGGAAATGGAGTCTATGAGTGGGGAGAGCCTTCGGCAATACCTATGATCTTAGATTAGGAAGGTAGTGTTTATGGCAATAGCTGTGACCTGACGAGGGAGAGCTCCAAAGCCAGACAAGAAACCAAGATTGGATTCACTGCAAGAGTGGAGGCAAAGATCAGACAATTGATGGGAAGCCTGTGAATATCAACTTAAAGCATAAGGGCGTTCAAGAGCAAAATTCGGCCTTCCATAATCCTGAAACTTCAGAGGGGCAACTTGAAAGTCTTCAGCAAAAGGATCCAGACTTTCATGAGTTTTTGAAAGAGCATGACCAGGAGCTGCTTCAGTTCAGTGAAAACGATGATTATGAAGGATATGACTATAGCTTGCAAGGTCGACTTTCAACTGTTCGCATTGTTTTCCTTTATAGGTTTGTTCAAGAGATAACTGTGTACTTTATGGAACTGGCGTCTCTTCATACTGAAGAAGCAATCAAACTTGTTGATAAAGTTGGAGGATTTGAATGGTTGATTCAGAAATATGAAATAGATGGAGCTACTGCACTCAAGCTGGATCTTGCACTTGACACACCAATTATCATTGTTCCAAGGAACTCAAAAAGTAAAGATTTTATACAACTTGATCTGGGAAGCTTCAGATTAAAAATGAATTCAGTTGGCATGGATCTCAAGAAGAAGACCCTTCAGCTGTGCATATTGATGTTCTTCATGCTCAGATTCTGGCTATTAACATGTCTGTTGGAATCGATGGTTGTCTTGGAAAACCAATGATACGGTAAGGTCAAGGACTTGATGTATTTGTTCGTCGAAGTTTGAGGGATGTTTTTCGAAAAGTTCCGACATTTTCACTTGAAGTGAAGGTGGATCTATTGCATGGTATAATGTCTGATAAAGAATATAAGGTGATTTTGGATTGTACATTCATGAATTTATCAGAAGAACCAAGGCTTCCTGCTAAACTTGGGGGAGAAATATCTGATTCTGAACCTGTCTCTTCTGGTTCACGTCCGGTGGATTCAGGATGTTTATTACTGTCTTCGGATCATGGAGCTACAGCTCTATCAGATAAATGCTACATGTTCCTGTTGAACGGAATTTAAGACTAGAAGATGATGAAGACGCCATCTCCCTAATAAAAGATAATAATCTCCCAGTTGTTTATTTTGACAACAATTCTTTGAACAACTTGGATGTCTGCAATCCTCATGTCCATTCCCATACTACATTACAAGTTTCCAATGATTTAAATTTGGCACATGAAGGCTCCTTTAGAATCATATGCTGACATTGGTGGTTTAGATGCCCAGATACAGGAAATCAAAGAAGCAGTTGAGCTTCCCCTGACACATCCTGAATTGTATGAAGATATTGGTATCAAGCCTCCAAAGGGAGTCATTTTATATGGAGAACCTGGAACCGGAAAGACATTGCTTGCAAAGGCTGTGGCCAACTCAACATCAGCAACATTCTTACGTGTTGTTGGTAGTGAATTGATACAAAAATACTTAGGAGATGGTCCAAAACTTGTGCGGGAACTTTTCCGAGTTGCTGATGATCTTTCTCCTTCTATTGTCTTCATTAATGAAATCGATGCTGTTGGAACAAAAAGGTATGATGCTCACTCAGGTGGAGAGCGTGAAATTCAAAAGACAATGTTAGAGTTGCTTAACCAGCTAGATGGTTTTGATTCTAGAGGAGATGTAAAAGTTATTCTCGCAACCAACAGAATTGAAAGCCTTGATCCAGCTTTGCTGCGACCAGGTCGAATAGACAGGAAGATTGAATTTCCTCTCCCTGATATAAAAACAAGAAGACGCATTTTCCAGATACACACGTCAAGGATGACATTAGCCGATGATGTCAATTTAGAAGAATTTGTTATGACTAAGGATGAGTTCTCTGGAGCTGATATAAAAGCAATATGTACCGAAGCTGGCCTTCTTGCTTTACGAGAACGCCGCATGAAGGTGACACATCCTGACTTTAAGAAGGCAAAAGATAAAGTCATGTTTAAAGAGAAAGAAGAGGTACCGAAGATAATGCTTGGTGATGAAAGAAATGGATCCACCTGCAGTTTGGATCAAGTTGAAAATGACAAGGCTTTACTCACTCCCTGTGACCAGCATGAGCAGATAAATTCACTGCAGGAGAATCAAAATCTTATGCAGAATTTATTAGAAGCGAACTTGCAGAGGCAAGATTGTTCCACTGGCCCAGATAATTATTCTCTTCAACAATCTATTCACGTTGCTGAAAAATCAAGATCGGGTTTTAAATCATATATTGGTCAATTAGGGGAACAAACTTTCACGTGTAGATCATTGCCTCTTGGTTTGGATCGAAGACGAAACCGATACTGGCAATTCATTACTTCTGCTTCTCAAAGCGATCCAGGTTGTGGCAGGATTTTTGTAGAATCGCATGATGGCTGTTGGAAGCTGATTGATTCTGAAGAGGGTTTTGATGCTCTATTGGCATCATTGGATGTACGTGGAATCAGGGAGTCCCGCTTGCATATGACATTGCAAAGAATTGAGATGTCCTTCAAAGAATCTGCTAGAAGAAATGTCCAAAATGACGCGAAAATGCAAAAGGGAGACACTGTCGAAAAACTCAAGACAGAAGCAGTTAAAGTGGCCACAGACCAAGATTGCAGTACTAATATTTACTGTCCTACTTCTGTCTGCATGGATGATTTGAACGCATCAGTGGCTTCAACTTCTTTTGCGGTTCAGCTTGGGGGAAATGCGACATTGAAACGAAGATGAAAGATGAGCAAAACAATGAGGATGCATCTTGGTGCTATGACAACTTTGTCAATAACAGGGCATTGAAATCAGTTGATAATGTTGTTGTTGGTTATGTGAAGTGACTGGGCTTGCACTGGGCCGTATTTCCAAGACGGTTGTACCTTCAAGTAACATGTTGAAAATAATCCACCTCAGATATTTAAATCTGAGCTGAAATGAAAAAGCAAGAATCCACGTCACATTCAAATTACAAAAGCTGAAAGAGAAAAATCAAAACGACGTGAAAAAAAAAATACAGCCACAGGTCACGCATAACTTGAGCAACCAAAACGCACAGAAAAATACCCAAACGGCAAAACATTTTCATTCTCCTCCATCTATAAATAGAACACATACCTCTTTCATTTCTTCAAGCTTGAAAAGCCAGAAAACCTCTGCAAAAAATAAAACCAAACTTCAATCCAAACTTTCTTCAATCACCTTCAAGCTTCATTCAATTAACCTTCATAATCCTGGAAAATTCATCAATATTACCCTTCAATTTTTCTTTAACCTTCATCATCAAAACTGGAATTCAATTTCGCATCTCCAAATTCAAAGAAGAAAGAGAAGAAGAGAAATCCAATCGTCATTCACTTCAATTGAAGGTAGTTACCGGTTTTCGTCGAAACTTCATCTTCTGAATGTGCCTCTATGTTTGAGTTTCGTTTGAAATCGAGAATATATTTGGAGTCCACTTTGCATTTCGACTCCAACCGCATACTTTTTGTGTCCCGCCGCTCCGATTTGAGAGAGCATTGAAGCATCCATGGCTTTGTGAATAGTAGTCGTGACACATCATTGAAGAAGATGACGAAGTTCTACAGCTTCTGTTTCCATTTACTTTACTTTTGTTTTATTTTAGTTTTTTTTCTTTTAAAAAAATAAATAAATAAATAGATCTTGGGCCGTGTGGCCTTTTACCACTACCATCACCATGCTTTGTTTATAAACCTCCCTTTTCTTTTTGTTTATGTTTCTTTTTTTGAATTTCTTGTTGGTTGATTTGGTTGGATCTTAAATTTTGAATATGATTTTGTTAATCTCAATGGACCATGGGCGTTGATAGGATAAATTTCAAATCCGCCAAGAGAGGTGATTGATATTGATGATAATTTAATCGATTTAAGATTCAAATTGAAATTTCTTTTTATTTTAATTCTTTTTCTTCTTCTTTTTATTTTTGATCGATGAAATCCATGGATCATAGATTGTTGATTATCAAGGTTGTTTAATCTTCATTATTTCAAATCTATGGACGAATAATCATTGAGATAATTCTCCTTACTTTGGAATAGTGATAGATTACCTTTGATTAATTAATTAAAAATCTTGATTGTGATGAGATCACTACCTCTTTTCTTTTTGTGTGGCATGTTTTAGGAGAGTGATTTATATATCATTTCTCTAACATGTATTAACACTAACATTTTATTGACCGGCCTCAGATAGTCGTGGTTTCTACATAAACCCGATTACGATTGCTTAACATAGCGCTAAAGTGTCCCTTAATCGGAAAATGATCATTCGTGGCTCAAACTTACGTTTAAAAGTCCAAGTATGTTTAGTTGCTTGTCTTAACTCCAATACCTATGAAAATCATTGTTAGGAGGCTTTGATTCTATCAATCCTCTAATGAATTTTCATTAATCTTGGTCTAAGTGCAAGAATTAATCATCATTGATCATATGTTCTAACCACTAACCACTAATTCACTAACAATATCCTTGTTTAATTTTGCTTATATTCACTTCTTACTCCTTATTTCTTACTTTTATGCTTCCATTTTATCATTTCATACCATATCTTTGTTTATGTTTATGTCATTTTTCTTTTGTCCACTTGGACCATACTTTGTTCAAGACATTAATAAAGGATAAAACATCTAAAAAATTTTGGTGCTATTAACTTTGTGGTTATGCTCTTGGACCATTCTTGGACTTTATGGACCTTTGGACTTAGAATTAGGGTTCTCATTCCTATGCTTGGAGTATTGTGGATCTTAGCCTTTATTTGGCTCGCTCATTAGCTTATGCTTTAAATCGGATGGAATTCTTTTTGCTTGCTTTGGAGTGTGCTACAAGTCGGTTAGATCTTTCTTACCTCTAGCTCTTATTTTGTTTTTTTTAGGATAGTCACTTCATCTCCTCCCCTTCTTAAATTTTCAAAACTTTCTCCCTCTTTCAAAACATTCTTGGTTTCAAACTTCAAAACCGCTTTCGCAATAAAACCTTGACTTTCGTCAAGTGATTTTT